AGGGGTGGGGGCAGAAGTCAGGCCCCTGCTCTGATGGCTGTATCTTGCAGTTCTGCCTCCTGGAGACACTGGTCACGGCCATTGTGGATGAGGTGGGGAATGAGTGGATCCTGCAGAAAAAGACCTACGTGACCTTGGGCGTGGCCGTGGCTGGTTTCCTGCTGGGCATCCCCCTCACCAGCCAAGTAAGAACTGAGGGGAAGGCTGGGCAGGAGTTGCGAGGGTATGGGGGGATAACAGGTTGGGGAGCCTAGCCTCGGCACTCCCGACTCAGCTGCCTGCTGGCCCACAGGCAGGCATCTACTGGCTGCTGTTAATGGACAATTACGCGGCCAGCTTCTCCTTGGTCGTCATCTCCTGCATCATGTGTGTGTCCATCATGTACATCTACGGTAAGTGCCCAACCTTCCATGGCCTCCCAAGCCCACACTGTCCTGCCTGGTCCACTGACCCCCCCCACCCCTCCAGGGCACCGGAACTACTTCCAGGACATCCAGATGATGCTGGGATTCCCACCGCCCTTCTTCTTCCAGATCTGCTGGCGCTTTGTCTCTCCAGCTATCATCTTTGTAAGTTCCTGAGCTGGCCTCTCCCTTCCCCTGCTGCCTCATGGCAAGTGTCCTTCTCTTGAGAACCAGCAGAGGGAGAGCAGGAGCCCGTCCATCTGGCCAGAGCTCCCATGGGAGCTCCACAGCACTAGCCATTGGTAGTCTGAGGGAGGTTGCATAGAGTCAGACAGGTATGTGGAGATGCAGAACCACCCAGGCCCTGGCCTTGGGTTAGGAAGGGAGCGCAGAACCCTGAGTAGGACTGAAGACAGTACCCAGCCTGGAAGGGGAAAGCAAGCTAGCAGCAGCTGAGAGTTGCCCGCCCCCGCCCCATCCCCTCCCCTGACGTTCCTGCCTGTCTTTGGGGTCTCAGGAACCATTATTGATATTGGTATCAGCCTCTGTCAGCCTCACTGAGCTCTTGTCTCCAATCCGTTATAGCCGAGATGCTCGGGGTGCTCAGGGTTCATGGTATGAATGCATGAGTGTTCCAGCAGCAGGCTGTATGAGCCATGTGTTAGTTCAGGATCAGGGGCAACCTGTAAGCCTTCCAGGCACTGGCATGGGCTGGCTTGGGAGGTCTTGGTTTCCACCAATATTCAACACCTGGGAAACCCGTTTGGGAGCTAAATTGGTGGCAGAAACTCCCACCATGGCTAGGAACCAGGCACTTTCTGTATGCTGCTCATATAATAACTCATGTAATACAGCTCTCCAAGGTATCATTATCATCCCCACTTCATAGATAAGGAAACTGAGGCCACCGAGATGTTAATTAATCAACCCAAGTTTACACAGCTAATGAGGGGAACCACCACCATGTGAAGCAGGTAGTCCGATCTAGAGCCTGCGTGCTGGACCAGTGTTATGCTACAAACCACCATGGGAAGGAAGAATAATCCCTAGGCTAAAACCATCTGATTTGCTCCTTTGTGCTTAGGGTGGTAAACGGGGGCGTGAAGTGTTTAATACTGTAATGGTCACTCTACAGAGAAGAGGCAGGGCCATGTCTGAGTGACAGAGGGATCAGCACAATGGCAAGGGCAGTGTCCAGAGTCATGCCTGTCACACCCAGCTCCTCTGTGCCACATGGGGCTCAGCACTGGGTGTCCACTTTGGCTCATGTTTCTGAACAAAAGGCCCCTGAGAGCTGAATCCTCCACCACACAGGGTGTAGGATTTTTCCCAAGCCTGGCACAGGCACCACCAGCTCGGGCCACTGGCCCAGCTTTGAAATAGGAGGAGCGGAAGTCTCCTGTAAGTGGTGAAAAGGCCAGGGAGGACAGGCACAACTGCCAAGCACCATGCCCTCTGGGTGTGGTGGCTGAGGCCCAGGAAGCTCCCCGCTCTACCCCCGGGGGAGAGACCTTGGGCACCAGCCAATGCAAGGCGGGAGGTAGGAAGGAGATGGGCTATAGGGGCAGCCGTGACCTGGGTCCAGTGTCTCCGAGAGAGTAAGGCAAGGTGGGCAGTGAGTGTCCTCTCTGTGCGCAGAAAGCTGAACTGGGGTTGCCTTAAGGTGAGAACTTCAGGCTCCGTAGACACGTGTTTCTGGGCTGTCATGTTTTCTTCAGGGCTTTACTTCTTTACATTTTCTGAAAAGCTTTTTTTGACAAACTCCATTTTCTGAAAAGCTTTTTTTGACAAACTTCTTCCGTCAGCTCAAATAAAGGATTTGTCCCCATCTAGATCAGGATCTAGGTTCATTTAGGAAACTTGTTATAAGTTCCTACTATGTGCAGCATCCCAGGAGGGGCCCCCTGTTGGATGTGGGTCTGGACCTCCAGAATTTGGTCACTAGGAAGGCGGAAGTAGCCTGAGCTCCAGGATGCAGCTAGGGGCTCAGAAGGCAGAGGCTGAGCCCTGCTGGGGAGCCACGCAGACACACACAGGCCCTCAGGGTGGCCCATGAGCCGCCTGCCCATCATCTTTTTGCTTTCTTCGGTTTTTTAAAATTTATTTTTAATTATAGTTGACATACAATATATTAGTTTCGGGTGTACAACATAATGATTAGACATCTATATACCTTAAGAAGTGACCACCCCAAAAAGTCTAGTAACCACGTGACACCACACAGTTATTACTTCCTTTAGTTTTTTTTGTTCTGTGGCTCAAGACTTTATTTCTCATCTTACTAATTTTTTCCAAAGCTGTTCCTGAGGGCATCTCCAGCCTGACAGTCACCATTTCTAGCCTTTGGAGCCTTCCCAAGCTGTCCCCAACCATATCTCCCACCTCTCTGCACAAGTCGGGTCAAATCAGCAAATGAGGTTATGACAGGCACTGTGCTGGACACTGAAGACCCAGCTGATGCAATCCTCAGAGGCTCCCAGGTCTACGGGGACCATTAAACAAATACTTAGCAAATGAAAAATGCCTTTCAGGAAGAGGAGATGGGAAATCAGGAGAGGCTTCTTGAAGGTGGTGGCAATTTGTATAGGGTTTGCGAGAGGAAGATGCAGAGGAGTCTCCGGAGTAAATGAAGAGGGTGGACAACGCTGGGTATAGCTGAGACATTGACATAAGGGTAATCAGGCCTGAAAGATAAGCTGAAGTCTCAATGTGAGGAGGTAAACGTCCTAAAGGCCAGGAATTTGGCCTTACTTCAGTAGGCAATAGGGAGCTATTGCGAGTCTTTGAGCAGAATGACTTCCAAAGGTGACATCAGCTTAATTGTTCCCTGGCTCATTCAGGATTATGGCAAAGATCTCTCCCCTTCCACTGCCAACTGCCCATCATGCCCTGGACCCTTGGTTTCATCTGCTTTTTCCACCACCCAAACACTGACATTGGCCCTGCTCTCCCCAATATTCCTCTTTCTAGTTTGGGAAACTGGAAAGGAAGGAAGGGGGTACTGATAGGAGGCCTGAGGCCCGGGTGGGGCTGGGTGGGCCTCATGCCCACTCCCATCCCCTGCTCTCTGCAGTTCATTCTCATCTTCACGGTGATCCAGTACCGGCCCATCACCTACAACCACTACCAGTACCCAGGCTGGGCGGTGGCCATTGGCTTCCTCATGGCTCTGTCCTCCGTTATTTGCATCCCACTCTACGCCCTGTTCCAGCTCTGCCGCACAGATGGGGACACCCTCCTCCAGGTGAGAGGTGGGGTCAAGGGGCAGCCAGGTGAAACTGGATGGGGTGGATGGATGGAGCTTAATGGTTCCCTTCTGATACTCCCTCCCCCCACCCACTTTCATCTCCTGCAGCGTTTGAAAAATGCCACAAAGCCCAGCAGAGATTGGGGCCCCGCCCTCCTGGAGCACCGGACTGGACGCTATGCCCCCACCATACCACCCTCTCCGGAAGATGGGCTTGAGGTCCAGCCACTGCACCCGGACAAGGCCCAGATCCCCGTGGTGGGCAGCAATGGCTCCAGCCGTCTGCAGGACTCCCGGATATGAGCACAGCTGCCGGGGAGTGCCTCAGCCCCGTCCTGTGTTCCCATCACAGAGACTGGGGAGGCAGTGGACAGGTGTCACTGCCTGTCCCTGCCAAGCCCTGACCAGGGCAGCTGCTGTCACCTTGGCCACCACTGCTAGTGCGGTCATTCGTGCTCGTGTCCCCAGTGTTTACAGGTCCTCTGGATGCCAAGATGGCAGCTGAGGGGAGAGGGGAAGGTAGGGTTGACGGGTAGGGGCCAAAGCACTTTTTAGGGGTCTTGGGCCAGGTCCCCAGAGGCCTGCGGGGCTTTATGTGGCCTCTGATGCCCCCACACTCTGCCCTGAGCTGAGGTTCTGGGTGGGCCCCCTTACCTGTCCCTGTCCTTGGGCCTCCAGCCTCCTGACCAGTGTTCCTGCCCTCAGAGCAGACCCTAGCCTCTGCCCAAGCAAATTTGGATCTTCCTACCTGGAGGCAGGGAGAGGGGCTAGGGGGCTGTACAGTGTTACTTGTCAGGCTGTGCTGTCCAGCCCTGTTTGTCTGTGCAATTATTTTTGTAAAAATTGTGTTAACTGTGGTTGCCACTCCCTTGCCCCCAGCCTCGGGCCCAGTCTGTCTTCCAGGCCTGCCTGCACCTCACTCGCCTGCCCTGGGGTTTCTGCGCCTCATGCCAGCCCTAGCGGCCAGGCCTAGCCAGCAAAGGCCCATGACTCAGCAGCCTGCCCAAAGCACTAGTTTCTGGGGGTCAGGGGTGGAGTGCTGCTCAGCAGAAGGTCTGAACCCAGAGCCGTGGGGAAGGGGACCCTAAACGTCGCCCCCTTGCCCTCCCTCCACCAGGCTAAACACCCTGTCTTCCCAAATTGGGTCGCCCTTGTTCACGTGCCAAATGGCCCCAGCCCACATGCCCCATCCCCTCTCTGGAACCAGAGCTCCTTTCCTCAAGCCCTGCAGTGTCCATTTGTCCATCCTCTGTGCCCCTCTGTGCAGTAAGCCCCGGAAGAGCCGCCTCTAATTCTCTGTAGCAATAACGGTGCGCCATCCACCCCCACCCATCCGTGCACCACTAGGATTTTAAAGTCCATAGATTTTAATGAAATTTCTATTCCTGTCTCTGAGCTGCTACTGTGCTTTGTCTGGGTCCCCCAGAGGGACAGGAGTCAGGGCTGGGATGAGACTTCTGCACTGCTCGTGCTCAGCAGGCCTTTCTGGAGGCCTGGGAGGAGAAAGGCCAAAGGCTGTGATGGTCAGGACCAGATATCAGGGACTTGGCAAGGGGTGGGGTGAGAACCAGCCAGCCAGACAGCCTCTGGGTCCTGGTGAGGGCCCATCCAAGACTAAATCTGAGGTAGCTGTGCTGCAGCAGCTGAGAGGTGGCTGCAGCAGATGGGGAGAGTTCCAGCAGAAGCTGAAGCTAAAGCCTACTTTGTGACTAGCCCATCAGGTTGGGGCCTGGGGTGCTGCACTGGACATTGGGGTAGAAGCTAGCCTTTTCCTGGGGCTGTACTGAAGCTTCCGTCCCCAGCGGCAGGTGGCAGCCAGGCGTTGAGGCCTGCATTCCAGAGGAGGGGCAGGCAGGCAGCACTGGAGAGGCCCAGCCAAAACTCCAGTAGTCCCACGGAGGCAAGACAAGGGTCTGAGGCCCTGGCTGGATGAACCTGAGGGCTGCTGCCTAAACAAGGAATAGTAGCCATGAGAGGCTGTAGCCTGACCTTTAGCCCACCCTGTCCAGCTGTCGATCTGCTCTGGTTTACCTGTGGCCGAGGGAGACACAGGAAGGCCTCAGAGGTGCCTGCAGCTCCAGTTGCATGGCTGCCTTCTGTTCCTTTAGCTCTGGAGGAGAGGTATATCTGAGATGAAGTGCCCAGCTCTTCTAGGGTGTGTATAAGGGTGAGGTGGGGAGAAGGAAGCTGGGTACTCAGGGGCCTGCCCAGGGTCCTCACCTGCCAGGGTGGGCTCTAGGATTGCCTCAGAGGGCTGGGGTGCCCCTGTATACTCTTCTTCCAGGCAGCGCTGCAGGGAGAGCTGGCTCAGTGCTCGGGCCTTATGGCAGGAGTGGAGTAAGGCAGGATACAGAGGCCAAGAGCCCCATGGCAGGGCCCAGGAACCATCCCGTGCCAGCCCCCTCATGCCGGCCACCTCAGGGCAAACGCCCAGGGGAACATCAGCCTCGCTGAAAAGCCCAGCTTGGCAAGGTGGTGGCTAGCCTAGACCCAGGTTTAGGGAAGAGAAGGAGGCAAAAGACCAGGGAGCCAATTCAGCAGGTTAATCTAAAAGTGCTGACCTTGAACTTAGGGGCTCAACCAGAATCTTGGGTTTTTTAATTCACACACACAAGAAGTATACACTTGAGAAATGGACACAGGACTCACACAGCCTTTACATGCACATACGCACATAGACACACATGTACACCAGGCAAGAGGTAGCCATGCCTACACTCAGAAGAAAGGCTAGGGAGGCGGGGAGTAGGACCAGGGATACAGCTCACCTGCAGGATGGGGATCTTCCTCTCTAAGGTGTGACACTCCTCTTCCAAGAGGCCTCTGGGACACGTGGGTGTGCAGCGGCCAGAACCAGTGCCACAGGACCAGGTCTCCGCTGAGCCCTCCACATAGCCCCGACCTCCAGCCTCACCAGAAGTCCCCTCCAGACCCTCCTTTCTCAGCCCACCTTGCTCTCTGCTGCCCAGGTGCCACCGAACACAGCCCTCCAGCCCCTGCCAAGCCTCTTTCTGGACAGAATGTGTTCACTCCTTGCATATCTCATAGTGCCCACCCCAGCAGGCACCATTCTTTCTTCTGTACTTCTGGCCTGCTACCCATCCTGCATTCATTCTTCCCCATATCACAGCCCTTCCCCTACTTAAAACTATCTGTGGTTCCCCCCACGCACACCCCTCTGGCAACCAGCTCAGGATGAAAATCCTCAGACCACGGTCCCTGCTGACATCTATACTTGGCTACTTCCCAGCAGCAACTAGCTCTGTAGCAACCTGCCTTTCCATCTCTAAGTCTTGTTCTCCTGGCTCTCTCCCAATCCAGGTATGCTGCCTCCTCCCCTCTCTTAGCCCCAGTACTTCAAGATCTAGCCCCAGTCCCCTCCTCCCTGTTTCCACCCCCACCACACACTCAGGGACCTCACCGCAGGTGTCCGGCAACCTGGTCAATGTTGGACATGTTCAATTCATCCTTGATGACACTAAGGTCTCTGAGACTGCTGTTGGCAGATGAAGTTGACATCACTCTCCCCACGTTGCCTCACCCCAGGCCTTTAGGACACAAATGCCACTTCTAGACAGTTTTGTGTCTTTTCTCACAAAGGCAACATGATACAGTGCAAAGATGAGTTCGGGAGTCTGGGTTTGATGGGTATGCAAATGGGCTCTGCTACCCTTTACTGTGTGTGACCTTGGCCAAATCAGTGATCCTTTCTGAGCTTTAGTTTCCTTATCTGCAAACTCGGGACATCATCCACTTCAAAGGGTTGTGTGAGAATCAGAAATAAGTTGCTGCCATTCACTTCTTATGAACACACTCCTGCTCATTTATCTCATCCTGTCTCCAGCTCTCTCTATCCCAGCCCTCACTCCTGTTCTCCAAGCCAGAGGATCAAGTGACTAGTGGACGCAGCCTCCCTTCCTCCCACCCACGTTTGAATATAGTGCTTCCTCTTCCTACAAAGCTCTTCTCCCTTTCATCTGCCTGGGAATCTGTTCCACTATTCCAAGACCCAGATCAATCCAGCCACCTTTTCCAGGAAGCCTTGCCTGCCCCCAGGCTTGAGAGAGATCTCTTGGGCTTCTGCAGCCCTTTACTGCATATATTCATGCTTACCACAAGTGGCTATAGAAGTGTCCAGCCCCAGACCAGGAACTCCTGCATGGAGCCAGGTGGGACCCACCAATTAGCTGGGGCCCTCTGCCCAGCAGGGACAGACCCCTCCTCTCCTATCGCCACTTTACCTGGGTTCACCAGCTCTCATCTGGGATATCTCCTGTTCTGGAAAATCACACCTGGGCTCCTCCAATGCAAAACGCAAGACCCTGGGGCTATACTGGACCCAAGCCTCGGTCTGGTCCCTGCAGAAGGTGCACATGAAGAAAACTCGGGGCAACCACAGGAAAGGCAACCCTGACCCCTTGTCAGGTGCAGGGCTAAGTTCTGGAGACTGGGCCTAGTCCCAGCTCTGAGGCTCCTACCTGCCCTCATAGATGGCCTTCTGGCGGAGACCTTGGAGCAGCTGCCGCAGTTCCTGGCGCACAAGGTCTCTTAGGAGGGGTGGGGGGGCCAGAAGGGAGGATGGGTCAGAGATGGGGCGGGAGCGAGGGGATTGGGAGGATCGAGCCTCTCGGAGCAATGACTGTAACATCACCACCTGCAAGGAGAGCTAAGACACCTTGAGACTGGGGAGGGAAGTGACGGGAGTGAGAGCGACTGGGGGAGTGAGGGGCAGGGCGGAGTTAAACAGGAGAGGGCTAGACTGTGAGATCCAAAAGGATCTTTAGTTACCCCGCAGAGCAGGAGGAGGTGGGGAAGTCACCTGAGTCGTGGGACAGGCCTGGGGTGTGGCCCCCCTTCCCACTTCCCTGACCTCTGCCCACAGCTCCAGGCTCAGGTCCACTGTCGTCTCCCCCAGAATCCTCTTCACTTCGGGCCGCTCCGGGAGCGGAACGTTCTCCTCCACCAGCTCCCACAGCGACGGAGAGTCCCCAGGCATGGCCCGCTGGCGCCCCGCACCGAGACGCGCAACCCCACGCTCAGACCTGCAGGACAGAAGGCTAGCGGTCCCCAGCCGGGCCACGCCCACGCACACCCCGCCCCCTTCCCTAGCTCACAGGCCACGCCCTCAGCCCTTCGCTCGCAGGCCTCTTCCCAGCCCCACCCTCGTCCTGCGGTTAGGCCCCACGACTAAATTACCCGGTCTGGAGCTGCTAGTGTCTGGTGCTGTCTCTTCTGCCCAGCTCTGGTTAGTTCCTGGTCACTGCCCCCAGGAGCCGGGCGACGGAGAGCAGGACACTAACCCCGCCTCTTCCGCGTGACCGTCACCCAGGAAACCATGCCGCTACCCCTGGCCCCGCCCCCATATGCCCCCTCCCCTGCCTGTTTCAGGTCTAGAGGGCAGTGCCGGCTTACTGAGTCGGACCCACAGATGAGATAGGTGGTTTTAGAGTCCAAACCATCAGTGAGGCCCTGACCCCAAGCACCTTACGCTCATCCCTGGCACGCTTCGGCTTCGGGACAGGCAGAAAACTGAGAAATCTGGGCCCACTGAGTTTACTACTCGTTGCCTCTCCTGGCCCGGAGGCAGTGGCAGGGTAAACCTTTCCCCTTGGAGGGACCTAGGGAACCAAGACAGCCTGGTCTAAACCTGGCCAAACCAATAGGTTGGGTCAGGAACCCTCCCATAACACACTCAGGGGCTGGGTCCAGGGACCCAGATTCCCATCTCCAAACAGACAAAGGGGCTGATCCATTCATGTTTTTTACTAAAGCACCCACACAAGTTTCTGTGCAATATACAAACACAAGCTGGCCCTGGGGTTACTGCCTTCTCTGAGACAGGGAGGCAGGAACCAAACTGATCCCAAACCCTACCTGCCACCCACACAAAGCCCAACCCCAAGATCCCAGGCAGCAACACAACACCCCCTCTGGTCCCCTCCTGGGGTTGCTCCTCAGCAGGAGGCCACCAGAGTTTGCCCCCTACAATGTTGAATGAAAAAGGTTTCCCCTCCCTTGGGAGCAAGAAGGATCCCCAGGTCTGAGAACTCCCCCTGGAAGCGGCGCTGCTCCTTAGTCATACCTCCCACTCTTCCAGGCCCTAGGAGACTCAAGGGGGGGAAACTGAGGCACAGAGAGGTGGAGTGACCTAGCCCAGGCCACTCAGTGAGGCAGTGCAGGGGCTGGCCCGACCCTGACAGTGAGGGGGCTGGGCTGGGAGGGAGGGGCAAGAAGGAGGGCTGACCCCAGAGAGGGACACACTTGAGGGGTCTCCCCAGGATGGAAGCCCCCCAAAATAGGTTCTGAAACTTCCAGGTGCAGCTGGGGGCCTACTGAAGACTCTCAGAAAACAGAGCCCAGAGTCTCAGTCCTGGGGGATCCCCCCCAGAGTAACCGCCAGCCAGGCTGCAGGTCAGTCCTCTGGCAGGCAATCCTTGGCAGAGAATCAGTGTCAGCCCCAGGGGGGCCATGACGGGGGCCGCCCAATGTCCACTGTGATGTTGGTGAACAGCGGTTGCCAAGACACTTCCAAGACCTGGTACCGCACTGACCCGATGCCGTCCCGCTTCATGGTCAGCTTCGTGTTTTTAATCTTGGTAAACCTAGACGAGATGGAAATGGGTCCAGATCAGGGCTAACCACCAAACCCAATTCTGGGGCCAAAACTCAAGCCATCTGGCTTCTTCCAGGGGTGAGCCGGTTCTCCTTGCCACCCCTCCGCCCTCCACCTGTTTGGAGCCTTTTGCTCTTGCATCTGCCTTCAAAACAGAAATCTCACCTCTGTGAGTCCAGAAATGTAACACCTTACAAATTTTTCTCTCATTTCAGACCCTCCTTCTAAGCCTGAGTTCCAGGTAAGGGGCATCCCATAGGCACCTCAAATACAATGTGTCCTGTATCAGATGTATCATCTTTACTCCCCAAACCCATCATCTTGTGCCATCTCTTCTGTTCCTCATCCTTTAGTCACTCCTTCACCATCTATTTATTGAGCAGTCTCCATGTGCCAGGCTCTACTCTAAGCACCAAGAACACAGCCATGAAAAGAAAAGCAAGGTCCTTCCTTTTATGACAAGTCTATTCTCCTAGGGGAGAAAGGTAACAGACAAGTAACACATCAGAGTGCTAAGAAAGCTAGGAGAGGGAGACCAAGACGACTGACTTGGAAGGGTTGAGAATATGATATCAAACTGACAGCAGGGGCAAGAACATTCCAGGCATAGGTAACAGCACATGCTGACCCTAAAGTAGGAATGAATATTTGCTCAGCTAAGTGGCTAAAGCCTAATGGGCCAAGGGAAGAAACAGTAAGATTCACTCAGAGGTTAGAAAATGCATGAACAGGGTTCTGGTAAGTCAGAGGAAGCAGTTTTTCTAAAAAAATCTGTGGATGAGAAGACACTGAGGGATTTTTAGCCCAGTTTGGGGGGAAGGAGGGACAGGGGACATGAACTGTAGAAGGGCAAGGGGAAAGCAGGGAAACCAGTGAGAGGTTACTGCAGTAGTCCAGGCAAGATGACAGTGGCTGCACTAGGGTAGAGTTAGTAAAGGGAAAAGATGGGCTCAGACATGTTTGGGGAGTGGCACTGATATGACCTGCTGATAGTCGGGACATGCAGAGTGAGGGGAAGAACACAGGAGAACTAGATTTGAAGCGAAAGCAGCAGATGAGAGTTCCTTTAGCCAGAATGTTATGTTATCTTGCCATTTCCCCACCCAAGGCAGTTATCACTGATTAATGATGGCTAATCCTGAAACAGGACCAAGGGTCCTGGCATGTGCTTCTAGTGCTCTACTCCCACCCTCGTCCCAACTGTATGGGTCTTCCCATTCTTCTGAACGCAGCTCAGATCCCTTTCCACAGCCATCCCAACACTGAGTACTCTCTCTGATGCCCTAAAGCCCTCTTCTCGCAGTCTCTCATCCCTTCCCTGCTCACCATGTTTATCTGAACTGCTTTTTCATCAGCTCCCTAGATGCCCAGTGCTTCGTGTTTCTGCCAAACATCAACCTTACATCAGTGCAGCAACCTCCCTCCCCCACTCTTAAACCCTGGGTTCAGAGCAGAACAATCCTACTGTTCCAGCTGGGGCACAGCAGTCTTATGCCTGGCACACCCCCGGGGTTCTGTCAATTCCTTCAGGCTTGGTGGGCTTCCTCCAGCTCCACCCAGGAGCTCTGCCAGCTCTTTAACTTCTTCAGGCTCAGAGGGTGATCCTTCCAGACCCAAATTGGATCCTGTCCTTTCCCTGCTTAAAGCCTTTCCGTGACTTCCCAGCGTCCCTGGGACAAAAGTGAAACTCCCAACCTAGGATTTGAGACCCCCAAACACCCAGCACTGATCCCATCTACTGTCATTTCCAACTCTCAGAAATTTTAACACCCAAGAGTTTCAGACTCTCCACATATACCATGCATGTTCACATTCCTGATCCCATCTACTGTCATTTCCAACTCTCAGAAATTTTAAACACCCAAGAGTTTCAGACTCTCAGCATATACCATGCATGTTCACATTCCAGACTCCTACACATACTATTTCCTTTTATCCAGACTGGCCTACTCCATTAGCCCGGTGAATATAGCGCTGGGCCCAGGGTAGGTGTGTGACAAATATCTGTTGAATGAATAACTTTTTCAAACTCCAATTTACTATCACCTCCTCCAGGAAGCCTCCCATCATCACTGCAAGGACAACACCTTGCCCTGATCACCTGTGTTATAACTGCCTGCCTCCTTCCCTAGAATGAACTTAATGTGGATATCCAGCTCTGGGCCTCCCTACCCCCAAGGTTTGGCACCAGACGGTCCCAAGTACCATCCGGAAGCCCCTGTCTACATTTCACATGCCCTCAGGCACTTCTCCCAGCCAGCATCAGACACCAAATGCTGCCACTTCCTCAGACTGCCACCCACTCCAGTCTCAGAGGGATCAGTATTGTCTTTCCACTCCCCACCCCACATTGCTCAGGACATCTTTGTTGGGTCCCCCGGCACACGAACTGAGTCCAGTACCCACTATCTCTCGTCCTATCTGCTCTGGCACAAGTGAGGTCTGTGAGGACACCAGTGGGAATGCGATCTACTCAGTGACGATTTGAGCCCTGCCTTTATATTTAAGTCACCTCTAGGAATCAGGCCATAGGAGTGAGAGCTGTCTGGTGTGAGGCTGAGCTGGTGGGACAGGAAACAGGGATCAGGGGTGCTGAGAGTCACCCCTAAGAATCAAGGGTCAATGTCCTTGGGATCACCTCTGGGGATCCATGGTACTAGGGGCCACCTCAGGGAGTAAGGGGTTAGGGGCCCTGAGCTCAGGGGTGCTGGGGGTCACCTCTGAGGATTGGGCTCGTTATGCTTGTCCCGGTCGTGCTTGATCATGCGGTAGCGGCCTATGCGGATGTCTGGGCGCGAGATCTTCATCCCAGTCAGGGAGATCCTGGGGACGGGGACAGATGGACTGGAGCAGGCACCAGGAATGGCACGGAGCCCCACCCAGGCTGCGCCGCGCCCTCTCACGCACCCAGTCTACTGCCCACCTCGTCTCTACTCACCGGTTGAAGATGTCGTCGTCCTCACCACCCCAGCCCCAGTACTCGTTGGGGAAGCCATTGATTCTCAGGAATTGGGCTTTACTCAGGCCTGACACGCCTCCAAAGTAGCCAGCATAGGGCAGCCTGTGGCGTGGGAGGGCAGGTGTCAGTGAGGGGCCTGAAGGGATTCCAGATGGAGGACGAGAGCTGGGATAGGGGAGAGTGTGCCCAGGGGCCAGGAGCAAGTGGGGCACTGGGGCTGGCAATGCGGGTCTAGGTGTGGTGGGGGACATAGGGATGGTGGGGCGGGGAGGTCTGGGTCCAGCTGAAAAGGGAGCCCTCACCGGAAGCCAAACTTGTCTATGGCAATGGCGAAGTGGCGGGGCTGGTCGCCACAGCGGTACAGGTTGCGGTCATCCATGGGGACCAGGTCCACATCACTGAAGATGAAGCAGTCGTAAGTGGCGTCCTCCTTCAGCGCCTCCAGGAAGCCCACATTGAGCAGCTTGGCCCGGTTGAAAGTGTCCTCACCATGCTGGGGTTGGTAAAGAGAAGAGGTCAGCTCTGGGCCTATAACTGGCAAGCACCTGCCACTTGACCACTGTCCAGAGCAGTCCCCACAAGCCTACCACCACTCACTCCCTGAACCACCCCCCGTGACTCCTGCAGACTCTCAGGATCAAGTTCAGCTCTTTGCTCTTTACCCTGGACCTGGCCTTCCAAGGCCTTTCATAATTTGGCTCTAATCTCCTCTCTGGCCACTGTCCTCAGACCCCAAGGCCAAGCTACACTACATTCCTCAGTGCCCCCAAACATGCCAGACTCTTTCTTGCCTGGCCCTTGGTGTTAACAATTCCCCCCCGCCTAGAATGTTCTCCTCCGCTTGTCAAACCCATGTCTGGAAGGCCTCCCTGACCAAACCCCGCTGCCACAGTATTATTATTAATTTCCTCCTGGGTGTTTCACGTATGCCAGTGTCACTTAAACTGTTATTTAGAGCTATTTCATTCATTCACTCAAACACATCTCATGGCCCTGCTCTTTGTACAAGGCATTTTCTTTGTGCC